GGTCAGCTGGGTAGGGCCATTTCCGGCTTGCCGGAGAAACATTTCTTTTCCTTGTCATACTCCCAGGTGCTACTGCTGAGCAAATGGGAACATCACCGCCAGAAGTACTCGAAAAGAACAAAAAATTGATTCGGACAATCTGTGTGCTCTTGCCATTGATAGAAATACAATTGTGACTTAGGGTATGACTAGGGTCACAGCAAGGTTAAAAGAAAAGCACCCAGGAATTCTCTCTTGTCATCGGCTTTTTAAACTGACTGTTCTTGGCTGCTGCAGGCAATATGTAAGTTTCTGTCAAATACCAAGGGAGGTTTAATAGTAATTACAAGTTGCTCTTAGGATTTTCCAAGCGGTAGCTACTTTTACAATGGCAGAACACTTGAAATGTGAAGTTCGGATGTTTAGCACACCTGTAGCACTTGAGGACTTCTTGATAACATAGAATTATAAGCCTATTCATAACTAATAATTATATAAGCTGTGTATAAAACTGAGTCTAAATACTCTTCCTCCTAAAGGAACTGTCTGAAGCCTGATACTGATTCCATTAAATTGAAAAGAAATTATTTATTTTTAGAAAACAAATGTATCAAAAGATCAATTACTATCACAAAGCAAAGGTCATCCAATTCATTTAAATAAATATGTGGTGCAAAAATGACAATCACTGAATACATTGCACATTGGTTCATTCTGTAGCAGAAAGCTGAACTATAAACAAATGAATTAAAACATTTGTTAAGGCTATAAGCAGATTCAAAGCTTCAAAGCAATGTTATAGTATATGTGATTCAAAAGCCAATACTGTTTAACAATACCTGAATTAAATAATTTTCTTTAAAGTAAAAAGGTAGAATTATTTTTATAATTTTGATTAAACTAGGATCTCCTGTCACAAAGTTCAAGGTTTTATACTTTCACTCAGACTTATTTACCAACATTTAGCCATGAACTTAGCTGTTAGGACACACATGAGCGAGAATATTATCTGTGAAGAGCTAAATATATTCGCTTTTGTGGGTCAATGAAAAAAATAGCTCTGGAGTAAGATCCAAAGGGGAACAAATTAAATAATTGCTAAAGAGACAAGTGTACAAGTATTTAGAAATATTTTATTTTAACAGCTGAGAAAATTTTAAAAATCTGTCATTGCTCTTAATTCTGTATCATCCAGTCTTTGGCAAAATAGACCATGGGGGAAAATATATATATATATATATTTGGCTTGTGACTAATAAAACCAAGGCATTGAGAAAAGAAAGAGTAACTCATGACAACATGCCAGGCATTAATGCAAACAGTTCACAAACAGTAAGTTCAAGGACCTGTAACTCAAGAAGCAACACTATGCATGTTCTTGAATGCAGACTTTGAACAGACCAGATTTCTTTTCGTGTTTTCGCATTTATAGAACATGATTCCACTGTGCCGTTTTCAGAGGTTCACTGTGAGTCCTCTAAAGGTTTCTTTATCATTTAATATTATAAATAATTATGCTCCTGGGCGGCAGTTCAAAGCCCAGTACAGCACTCGTACAACACCACAGGCAGGTCAGGTGACCTTTCTCCAATTCTCCTCTCTCTGGTGCTGAGGACAGACAAAGTGATATGTCTGTCATACGCCATTACCATTAGAACAGAATCTTGTTCTTTTATTACAACTGAACTCTGCCAGATTTCTCAGCAGGAATGCTAAGTGAAATCAATGTCTTGGATTTCCAGGCTGAGCTTGGAGGTCACAGCCACTCTATCATTTCTCAGCATTATCCTTTCTCTCTCGCACACACACTCCCCAAGCCTCCAACTGGCACACAGCAGATTGAAAACAGCATGCATCAGAGGACTCATGCTGTACAATTTTACAGTCTTTTGGAGCCCCCTCCTTTTGATTCCCCCCTTCCATTTTTTTGCAAATTGCAAATAAGTTTTGTTTGTGTCCTTCTCTAGAGTTCTGAGTCAAAGGCAAAGGCATGCCCAGGAAGAAGGGCAGGCAATACAACTCAGAGAACATGGTTAATTTTTGACAGCTATTAATAAGATCATTATCCTCACATCATCACCTGGATATGACTTATGATTCCATTGTTCCAAACAGCAAATGTACTTTTAACTTAAGCCATCAATTTGGTTTATGCCAGGTAGGTATGTAGACAAAACAAAATGCTTTAATAAAATAATTCTATTTTATGGTAAGATAGACGTGAAAATATGCCAATAAAACACACAGAAAATACCCCCAAGACATTAATAATTGATTGCTTAAAAACATAAATATGATAATAAATGATAGCTATTACACATGAATAAAATAGCTTTGTGAAGTCAAAATGTTTATTATGCTATGTATAAATGTCAATTCCAAGCTACAAGAAAGTAAATTCATGTATTGTAATGGGTTATCTTTATTTACTGTAGGTTGTATTTTTTTGGCCATGTTCTTCATTAAAATGACAACAGTATTACTTATTGGTGTGGCTATTTTTAACCCACTACATTTTACTGCTGAGCTAAAACACAAACACATTTAAGAAACCTTTTCTGATAGTTAGAGTAGTTGTGGACAGTATGCTAGAGGGCACTGAGCATAGAAAGGGCATATTTTTATGAAATCGTTGTTATTTGAAAAGAGGCACTTTGTTCTTAGTTAAACCTTTGTGTATTTTACAATAATTATGGATGGACAGAAGTACAACACCCACTGTTTTCTTAAACTTTATAAGATAGAAAATTCATAAAGGCTCATTTTCAAAAAGTAATTGAATTTCAAAGAAGAACTATAAATATATTTTTAAATAGTGTATAATCATGGCTATAGAAATACAATCTACTTTTTCACTTGTATTAAATAAACAGAGGTATATAAAACCATCGGATGTGGCAGATTTCTGACAGTACTAAAATAATCATTCTCTTTTGAACAAAGTCTATAAGGCTCTATGAATGTATAGAACTTTATAGCTCATAAAGCAGTTTCTTAATCTTAGCGAAGCAAACCTTCAGTTACCTTAGCATTTTCCCTGGTTTCCTAATAAAAAATCATTGTAGCAACTGCTCAATAAACAGTTGAATGGATAAATGACTGAATGGACAAATGAATAGATGCATAAATGAATGAGGCTGGCTGACATCAAAACCTTCATGATGATTTTTATAAGTAAACTGGTGAGAAGGTATCAATGACAAAAAGTGATTGTAGGTGGAAGAAAAAAATCTATCAGCCATTTAAAAGTGAGCTACATATCCTAAAATCATAAAGTGAAATGTCCTGATGTAAAGCCTCATTATGAAACATGATGTGAAATTACATCAATAAATCAAGGAAAAAACCAGAGAATAATATCTCACAGATGTATCTGTGTGTAACAATTGACTATGTTGCTACAGCTATTTATTTTATCGAAACTACTTTTTTAAATAGGTAATATAGTAAAACTTCTGGTCCACAGAAACACTAAAATTATCACTGCTTTAAAATTAAATTTATTTCATAAATGTTAAAATTATTAGCAAGTTTTAAAAACTTATGCTGTTGTGATTATAAAGAAGAGCAGACCAGACCCTAGATATACATTAAGCACAGAAGATGCATGGTCCAATAAACAGCTGAAATAGATCTTCAAAGTGGCATATGTATACTCCTATTGTCAATGTAGTATATATAATAATTTTCATTATATATTTCTACATACTATTGGAAAATCATGGTCTAAGGTTCTTGTCCAGGTTAAGTTATAGTCCCCAAAATATTTTTATTTTAATAATATGGAAAAGGACTGGGGAGTTCTAGGAAGATGGAGGCTGGAGTGCCCTTTTCCAAATGATTGATTGATCCTTTCTGCTTACTGATTCACTCTCTGGAACATACAATAACTCCGAAAGACATCCTGACAGAGCCATCAGAGTACTAGAGAAAGATTTTTTTAGGATTCTTGTATTTTTCTCTTTTAGTATTTTCTAATCCTTTTCTCTGCGTATTTCAACGATTTTGACTATTCTTACCCTGTTATGCTTTAGACATTTCAACATGGCATTCATGGGATGGCGAACAGAAGCAATTTTCTAGGTAATTCAGAAAAAAAAGTATTTTGCAGGTAAACTACCTGTGTCAGCTTTCTATTCAACATTTTCTAATAGAATCAAAATATTTTGTGGTTATTTCCCTAAGTATTCTCAGGGAATGTTGCTTTATGATCACTCTCTTCTCACTTCTTGCATGGAAAGCTTAATATATTTATACAATATCATTTAAGCAAGATCTTAATATAAATATAAACTTAAAATCATGTTTTCTCTCCTTTTAGGCCAAGAAACATACAATATTTGACTTTTCCGTGATCCTTTTCCATGTGTTCTAATGTTTTCTTAGCTTCAAAAACAAAACTACTTCTAAATCGCCTTACTTCTGACACTACTATTATCTTCATTTCCTTACATGATAATTTCACTGGGAGGGTGATTTATCTAAAATTATATCTATACTGTACCACATTATAACAGTCATGGATATATTTAAAACACTTTCTGTAGGTCCTAATTCGACTTATTTTTAAGGTCTATTTCAGTTGTCCCTTCTCTGGCAAACTCCTGCTGGAATCTCTCACTGAAGATAATCTCTGCCACCCAATATAACTTCTAATGTACTTTATCTGTAACTTTTTATAAAATTTATTTTGTATCATAGAATATGGTTATTTGGCTATTTTTATAAATATCTACATAATCAGACTGTAAGCTCCTTGCATACAAGATACCCATATGATAATCTTTTTTATCTTTCACATTTTCTACTATAGTTATCAATACATGCATATTGAATAAGGGAATAAATGATTAAATGTATGCAGATAGGTTTACATGCACACCTGTTGCCCTTACTTGATTCTTACTTCCTTATACACCCAGAGTTTAACCAAGCTGCTGGCATATAATAGACATTTAATAAATACCATTGAATGAAAAATAAAACGAAGTGGCAAGACAACGGCTTCTTCAAAAGGGTACCTTGCTTTTGGGTGGTGGGCTGTTTGTGCTCTTGTCTGTGTGAATGCTGGTAGGAGATACAGCAGCACCAAGGTTGCCTTGGGGTATGCCTGGCAGCTTCCCTCCTGGAGATACCTGCATTGCAGCTAGCTGGGCAGCATATAACTGCTACAAAAGAAAAAAAGAGAGAGAGAGGGAGAAAGAACACTATGAATAATAAAATAAACGCACCTTTCAGAAAGTACATATATTCAGATGTGGTATTTTTCCTATGGGCAATTTGTTTAGTGCACTGGAATATTTAAAGCAAGAAACTGTCACCTCAGCTTTCATTACTTTTTAGGGGAGAAATGACAGATACCACATATAAGTGATCTCATCTTCAGTATGTCCAGGGACTCAAAGCAAATAACAGCCATCCATATTTACTTTATTCCAATGTCTATGGAAGGCAAGCATAACACATTATCTAGTTAAGAGCTTTTTATATTCTATTTTAAATTTACATAGTGTGTTAGAAAAGGATGCTTCATATACACAGTAATTTTCTTACTGTCTATATTCGTTCAAGCCCTGTATGCCTCTTTCTTTGATTTCTTGAAATGGGCACCGGAAACAATTTTTCTGAGGGTTAGGTGGATAGAAATACAGAAAAGACAATGAAAGGCAATGAAAAAAAAATACTGGAAAAATATCTGGTCAGTCTAACTATATTGATAAAAATTAACTGGATGATTGCCAAAAGTTCACTTTACTTCATTATATATAAATGCAGACAAATCTCAAATTATCTTGAGGTTTAAGGTTTAAAAGAAATCTGCCTAAAACATATTCTTCCACTAAGTCATTATTTAATAGTTCTTATTAAATAAGTGATAAAAATAGTCCAAGTAATTAATAAAAGAAAAATTTTACTTTGATAATGACAGCCATATATTATCCTAAAATAAGGAAGCTGCTTTCAATTCAAATATTACATCAAGTATTTAGATTATTATTCTTTTCATCTTCCTTTTGCACTTGGTTAAAATTTTAAGTAACTACATAAGGAAATAATTATTAAATAAATATATATTTAAATTATTAAATATTTAATTATGCATTTATTATTAAATATACAAATTTTACATGCACACACACATTACAGTTTCTTATTTCTCATTTGTCTTGAGATTCCACGGATAGTGTTCACAATGCGAGCTCGAATTTCTATAAAGAAGCAAGGAAAAAACCTCCAAATAGTTATGTGGATTATCTTAATTTTTTTTTCTGAAAGAGAAATTTCAAAAGACAAAATTGCTCATGGTAAGCCACAGATCCTGATAAGCAGTGTCTCTCTATAAATAAAATAATGAATACTGAAGACAGCACATATTTACATGAAAATACATGTAAGTCTCCAGGTACTGTAACCTAAATAAAAAGACATTAAAATTATTGACAAAAACTATGGCTTATTTTTATGCAAAGTAATATAAAATATATTCCAGAGAAAAACTGAAAAACCAGAAAAATAATTTTGTATTTTTAATAATTGTCTCACAAGGTTTTTATGTGTTGGAATAATTATATCTTTCCTATCCCTGCCAATTAGAAAAAATAAAAATTATTACCTTCAATTACATAAACATTAAAAGAATAATTTACTTCAAAAATGAAGACTCGAGAGTTTATTATTTAAAGAAAAACTATCAGAATTGATCCATTTCCTCCACCTGTGTTAAAAATCTATGCGTTACGTCCTGCAATATAAAAATCACTTTTTTTCTGTCATCATTCTAAACTATTTACAAAGTCTTTAAGAAAATAACCAGTTATCCTAGGATATCACTTTACGTATTAAAACTCTGTCCAGTAGAATGCATGTACTAATAATGAATTTTAAAAATATATGTATTTTCACAAATTAACTAGAAAACTATATTACATTTTATGGATTTCATATTGTATTGTATATTGTATTCTTATCTTTAAAAATGACTTCACTGGATATTATTACTTGATGATAAAAATTCCTATTACTGATATACACTAAAAATGAGATTATTTTGTAATTAATAATGACATGGAACATTATAATATCTGTGGGTAAAGGAAATTTGAACAAAACAGTTATTCAAAATTTAATTTTGATTCTTTGAAATATTGACAAAATTATTAGTTATTTGTGTTATTTAGATATTTAAATAGCTTAACCAAGTATTCATTAGAGGTGATTTAATATTTAAATATTAGGCACCATAGACAGTCATAATTTCAAAAGAAATATAAGAATACTATTAAAAATACAGTATAAAAACTCTAAAATACTTTATTGAATTAAAGGATTTAAAGGATGGAGATGACACATATTTGGAAACAAAAGTTATACATATTCTTTCCTCATTCAAATAAATGCACTTTTACCCTTTTAAATATGGAATTAAAGTGTATCTGAGTTAAAATGTCCTAAAAGAAATGCTTTTGAGTTGAAAGGGAAGAAACATTTGTAAAGGAGATAGAGTTAAATACGCTAATATTTCTATAATAACAGTATCATATCATTTGCCTTGCTTGTATTTCTACAGAATACAGAGACTTAACGTACTTTAGGATGAGATTTTCATGAGGCTGCTATTCAGTTTGAGAATGGTTAATATTAGGGTGCTTTTCTCTTCCCCGAATTGCCCATATTTCCTTTTTCATATTTGGCTTCTATGCAAAAGGACAAATTTTAAAATTACTCTTCCCCAACTGTGATCAGTTTTCTACTATTTCTACATCATTGCATTTTCTACAAAGCATATCAAATATTCCTGGTTTACCAAGGTATTGAAGCACATTTGTTGTCATATATATGTTTTCTTAAAAGTTTCATTGTAATACAAAAGCAAAATTGACTGTTGTCCTACAGAATTTAACATACTTTGAGTATGCACAGATAAGATCAATCAGGAATTTTAATACTGCTAGATTCTAACTTGGCCATTCACAAGTTAACACAAAAGTTCAGTAAACTTAAAGAAGCTGACAATAATTCTTCTACCTGTCTATATGCGTAAGAGTGGATAATTTTCTTAAAATGCTGCTGTGACTTATTTTAAATCAAACTTTCAAAAAATCATGCTCCTTTTTCTATCTATTAAAATATGTGTAGTGACTGATTTTAAAACAAAGAAGTCAAGAAATGATGAACAATTTCCTTCTTTTAACAAATGTTCTTGAAGCAAAATCAAGCCTAATAAAAGGTGTCTGCCCTAAGAGAAATCCATAGTCACAGAATCATTGGTTGATCTTGTAGAGTGGGACGGGGCATGAAATTTAGTGAGTATTAGAAGGGCACCAGCACTTTAAAGGATGGAGTGACAGGCACTGAAGAACTATATAACACACTTATGTTTGTATGTATGTATGTATGTCTTAAAGCTAAAATCTGGTTAACATCTTTCTTTAAACAATGACAGATAAAACCCAAAGTTGAACATAAGGTATATCATGATAAACGTACGTTTATGATATTGAAGTTGTTTAAAATATCAGAAACAAACAGATGACACTAAACAAATCGATGACATTAAACATAAAAGACTGAGCTGAGCCAGGTTCGGTGGCTCACACCTGTAATCTCAGGACTTTGGGGGACAGAGGCAGGAGGGTTGCTTGAGCCCAGGAGTTTGAGGCCAACCTGGGCCACACAGCAAACATAGTGAGACCTTGTCTCAACAAAACAAAACAAAACAAAACAAAATGGCAGAGCTGAAAGAGAACACAGAAAGAACTAATTTCATTAGTTTAACCAGACTCACAGTATTTTAGCCTTGCAGAATAACTTGACTCTTACCCTGAAATTAATGTCAGGGATTGGATGTGATCTTTAAAACTTCACTACTCATCAGAGCCTTCCAGTCTTTCTATTACTTAAAATCTTGCATTCTTATTATCTTTTAGTACCCCATACCTATGCCTCCTTTAGACAAGGAGTTTTTAAGGAAACAATTACAAATGCTTAGGTTAGAATCTATTCTTTATTACTTCATGTATTCCTGGTACTCAAAGTTCATATATATTACATACGTATATATATATAAGCAACTCTCATTTTTGTCGCAAATTGCTCTATCATCTAGATTTTTGTCTCTTCAACATTTTAAGCTCCTGTAAGGACCATGGTTTCCACTTCTAGTGGAAAAGTTAAGAAGCAAGGGCTTTGGACACAGGTAGAACTGAATTCTGATTGCAGCTCTTAAGCCATGTGAGCTTGGGCAACTTCTCTGAGTCACAATTCCTTAATCTGTAGATTCAGGGATAAATGAAACTGACCTTATAAAGGTACTGTGAGACAGGAATCACATGATGTGTACAAAACACTTAGGAAAGCGCATGATAAAGAATGCCTGATCAATAAATAAGTTATAATTATTAATGGATTAATTACACAAAGTAAGAAACTAGGCAACATATACATGATGACTCTGGACTGTTATTGGTATAACAGAGGAGAAAGAAAGCGTGTGAACATAGTTGCTGCCTTAAGTCAAGATAGATAAACAGAAAACAATGAGACTGTAAGTGTACTGTAACTGTATGTCACTATCAAAGGTGTTAAGAGAGAAGAAATGCGTCAGTGCATTCAGGTATGTTTTCGTAGAAGAGATGGAGTTAAAGTGGACACAAAAAAAGAGATGGCATTCTAGGAAGGGAGTACAATTAAAAGAAAGGCATGAGAGCAGGAATGAGCTAGTTGCTGCAAAGAAAATAGAGATTGGTGTAAAACAGTGAGAGGTTGAAAGGACAGCTAACATAGCCATGTTAGAGGAAAACAACATTAGTTTTGTAGGCTACATGTACCTTATGTAGGCTTCTGAAACTTAAGCAAAAGAGTTTTAATTGAATACGTAGTAAGAGAAAGCCACTGACGGTTTGAGAGCAACGATGTTTTTAGGTAGGATACCAATAAGACATAAATGTCAGCTACGAGGTTATCAACATTTAACAGTGATAATTATGATCATAAGAAGTTGAGTTGCAATAAGAGTTGTGAAATGAAGATGGAAAAAATAATTTCAAGTTGATAACATACCGGGCACATAAAAATTGCCAATTAACTTGGGAAAAGAAAAGAGAAACAGAGGAACAGGATGATAATAAAATTTATATAAAGTCTTCATAAGTATGTAAAGTATACTCAC